ATCTCTCAAGGTTTGCAAAGGAATCCACCATAAAAAGTATCTCTTCACAAGATCCAAAATAAACTCTTCTAATTCTTTTTTTACTGATCCAATGATTACGTATTTGTAAAAGAAAACAACCCTAAATTATAACTTATTCCCCTAAGAAACCCTAACTAAGTCCTAACGCTTCATCGTTACAAAATAATAAATGTCCATTTCTACCCCCTCAATTCTCTACAACTAAAAATAAGACATAAATACCAAAAAAGGGAACTAGAAACCCAAAAATAACCCAAACCTAAATTTCAATCTCCTAAAAAATAATAAATAAATAAATAAACCCTAGTTACATTAGATGAGGATGACTATTGAGATAGACACCTCAAATGTTGACAAGGGAGGAGTTTAGAAGCAGACCCAAAGGAGAGAAGTATGCATTTAAAGCTTAAAACCATGATCCAATAAAGCGTGTATGTAAAGCATGAGGCAATCACTGCCTTGAAATCCATATGACAGCTCTTAATTAACATCCTAAACCAGCACTTCACTAAGAGAGTTGATTGTAAACCTCTAAAGAGATTAGATATCTCAAATATGTGGATCGGAAACCAGCATCCTAAACCTTTAAACGGCCACAACCCAAAATTTGACATGCATCCTCCATATATTGTCTTTCTTTGGTGGAAGAAGGGTCAGGGGCTAAGACTGTCCTGATGAGCCCTTTTCTCATCAACTCTTTGGCGTGCCTTAGGAGTTCCACGTGTTCAATGGGGCTCATTCGATAATGAGGTAGACTGGGAAGGATAGCTCTCAGAATGAGATCAATGCCGTCCTGCAATGAGATCAATTTTGTGCTGGATATCTTGAACCGATGGCAAAGCATTAGGCAATTTCTTCGTAGCTAAATTTCAAACTCATCAATAAGTTACAAACACTAGCTGGAATTTCCTTCCATGTTTTTTGGTTCCAATCCACAACTACTAATGCATACACACTGCTTGCAATACTGCTTATAGGAGAGCAAACTGACCTGGATTTCCATGCACACATTGGCAGGCATGTTTATCAAAGGGCTAAGAATATAGTACACTCCACTTTTCAAAAGAGAGTAAAGATTCGCTCTCCCGTCATGGTGAACATTTCTATCATACTGGAACGTCCCAAGTAAGAGGTGGCAAACATCCATTGGAAAGATGTCAAAGCGGATTTCACCCTCATAATTTTCAATGGAAAACTCGAAAATTATGAAACTTTCTAAGGTTCAGGGTGGCATCCACTTTTGAGCTCAGGCTGACGACAATGGATTTCAGCACCAGATTTTCACAGCTCAAAAATCTGTCGTGGCCACACACTTTTCCCAAAGCATGTGCAGTAGGTCTGGAAAATATTATGTCAAAGCCATTTGTTATTCTCTTGGATGGACAACATACATCGAGTGACCAGGCTCTTAGCATCACAATTCGCGTCACAATGTCTTCCTCTTTTCCAGATCCATCGAATATGGGTACTTTTTCTTCTCATCTAACTCTTTCTATCAAATTTATCAGAATTGCAGCCTTCTTCTTTTCACACTCATATGCTCTATGGCCTTTTTCCAACCACTGACAGAAGACTGAGTTCGACCCTAGGGTGGGGTTTGCCACACTCCTTGATTCCACCCCCTTCATATGGGTTTGGACAATTGAAGGGTGTGCAAGACCCTTGTCCCAACCTTTTCTTTCCAATCTGTTTAAATGAGTTCAATCTAGTTTTTCCTTGAGCCTTGAGCTCCATTTGATATGCCTCTACAAGGGTGTGAAGAGAGTGCATCATAATTTCTCCATAGATATTAAATTCAAGTCCACTCAACTACTGGGCTACTAGCTGATCATCACTTCCATGCAGATTTATATGACTCGACAACTTGTAAATTTGTTTCGTACAATCGGCAACAGACTGATCAACTTGTTGATGCAATTGATGGAACTTTCAGCAAGCGTAAGGATAGTCAAGGGCAGGAACTTTCATCTAATTTGAGTTTCCTTTTGCCCATCTACTAATCTTACTAGCACCTATTCTCACCCCACTACACTGATAATGTTGCTACCAAATAAGACTCTGCCCATCGAGGTTTGCATAAACCAATCGAACCTTCCATTCATCCAAGAGATCCTTCCATTCAAAGAAGGCTTCTTGTGATGTCATTCAATCACAATATTCATCGAGATATACCAAGTTATCGCTGCAAACCCAGAGATTTTGTTACTACATGGGAGAAAGAAAGATCCAGAGCTCTTATTCAAAATCATATGAATTCATCTCCCAACGAGGAGTTGCCAAAACATTTCACTGGCAGCTCGCACTGCATGTTGAACATAATTACCCAGTCACCATAGGGAACGTGTTGTTGATATTCATGAATAATATTTTTTCTCTTGCTTGAGAGATTATGAATCTAGAATCTTCAACTTTATTACAATGAGCTTACCTTCAAGGTCTAGAACAATTTACTTGGATAGTCTTGTCTGCTCCTTCAAGAGCCCTAGCCAAACATTCCATACTCCAACGAGTATCCCTGGGCCTGTTCCTTGGGGGTAATTCAAAAGGCTGGAGTCGAAAAACTCTGTCCACGTTTTCCATCCGAACCAATAAACATCTGTGTAATCCAGGAAAAGGCTGCTGATGCTGAAACCCTTTGCATGAGTTTGCTTACCACTTGTCAAAGCTCTTGAACAACAAAGGTCCTCCAAATCAACCCAAACATTAATATCCTCTATGACATCGTATCTATGGGGCTATCTTCGTGGGGGCATTGAAGGGTGGGTGACTTTAGAAGGACTCAAAATCTTCAGGTTCTTCCCGCTCTGATACCAACTTGATGCCAGCCAAGACCTATAAGGGGCACCAGGAATCGCTCAACCAGTAAGGGAGGGGCTGGAATAACTCGAGCCAGTTAGGAGATATTACTCAACTCCAATAAGGTCTCCTTCAACTCCAAAAAGGAAGCAAGGAAAAAGCTTAGACAAGTATTTCTTCTCCAAAATAAACTCCATCGATTTTCATTTCTCATAGAATTTATAGAATTACAAAGATACATGCATCACAACTTTTGAACCATTGAAATCAAAACCCTAGTTTCTAGGCTTCCACCGTTCCAAGACTCGTCCAATTCCAAGACACCATAGTTCTGAAGCAAACTTCATGCACATGCAATTGTAGTTCCTATGTGTGAAAGGGGAATTATCAAAATACACCCCCCTTTTCAACCACACCAGAGAGTTAGCACTGCATAGGCTCTGTCCCATAAAGAAATTTATGGCCAGCCCTCCTTGGACTTCCTTTCACAGTCCAGGAACTTGGTCTACCTCAGACATCAACCTGTAGCTACATCCTCATCCTGGGCCCCACCATCACAAGGGGTATGCAAGCTAAAATTTGATGGCTGCTTCTCAGGAAACCCAGGGCCCACTGGGATCAGTGGGGCTTTCAAGACCATAACGGCGTGATCTTCAAGACTTTCTCTTGCCTTGCTGGTGTCTTAGATGCAAGTATGACCAAAGCCATGGCCCATTTGCTGGATTAAGGTTTTCCAGTCACCACTTGCATCTGAATTTTATGGTTGAACATATCGCTTATCCCCACACTCAATCCTGGCCCCTGGGAGAATCGACTATAAATTCCTCTTGTGCCTCTCTCTACATGTGACTTCTGTCACACTTGGAGAGAATCAAACTCTTTGGCAGAAACTCTGGCCAAGACAGGATTGACCAAACCTAACCTTTCTCTCAAACAGTAGACCCCCCCCTAACCTTAGTCATCTCCTATGTGTTTCTAGATTCTACCTTGCACAATAAAACTGCATTCTCTGCCTTCATTCTTGTACAGGAACACAGTTTTTTATCACAATTTTGTACTGCTAGTCCTATGGGACAAATTTTGATAATTTCCATGCTTGAAATTAACAGTGTCAAAAAAAGGTTTTGAAGTCCTTGGTGACTATTGGCTCATGATGTCTCTATGGCTGATGCATTGGCATTGTTGACAGAGTAGATTCTGCACTTCTTCTTGAGGATGACTTACTGAATGTCATTAGATGGACATCCAGAGTGAGATCCCCAGGCAGATGGATAACACTAGAGAAGTAATTTACATTTACGACTCTATGGATACACTTTTGGACAAATCTATAGAGAGGTAGATGCGATGGCTGACGTTTGAGCAAGGGAAGGAGTAGAATTCAGCTTGCTAATAACAGAGGACACATGGCGATTACCATTTCTGACCTGTGGCCACTCTGGTCTTCTCCACAGTTTCACTTTCTCCTCCTCTTTGCTTGTCACACTCTTTCTCTCTTCCTCCCCGATGCGTACAATTCCCCTTGGTTTACAATTACCGAGTATAGCCTGATGTTACTCTTCCAATATTTATTAATGATCAACCCTCAAAATAGAAAAAGAAATAGGAACCAGATGATAAACCAGAGAAAAGGAAAATTAAAGATGCCACAAAGTTAGTCATGAAATTGTCATGCAAGGGAATGTTTATTTCAATACATTTGCATTAGTCATATGTCGGGTGCCAACTGGCAAGTTTAGAACTATTGGCGCGTTCATTGGATTTTAGCTAATGATGTTTCCATGCTTGCAAGCAAGTTATAAATTTTCTGATACAAATGTCCAGATAATCATGAAGAAATACATATATGCACATAAGAAGAACACAAACGTATACATTAAAATTACTTAAAGTAGAATATATACACAACTAACCACACAAGCCAAGCAGCCATCTCCAAAAATGCATTCTATAGCATAATTAGCAACATATAAGAGTGATGACAAAGGTGTCTCCGTAAAAAGCATCTGAAAACTCCCACAAGCTGTGTGATAGATGCATTTTTTACTTCTCAGATGATGAAACCAACAATGACAGTAATTTGTGTACCACTCAATGCGACAGAGAAACATAACAACAGAGCAGAAGTCAACAAAGAATCTTACATAGATTCTCTTACTTAACAACTGTATCAATTTACTTACATCGCCATTTGCAGCTGATAGTAGGGAAAGGTGTGAAACAGTCTTAGCATGGTAATCCATCAACACATTATATGCCGATTCTTCAAGCTTATCCTGGTCCAAAGAAGTAATACATCATAAAAGATATCTCAAAGGCACCAGACCAACATATGACTTACAACATGCTTTAGGCATGCACATAAACACATTGAGAATATATAATGAAAGACTGAGAATGAAGGTTGACATATACAAACCAAGTTACAGTGGCTAAATGGAATTAATGTGATGATCACCAATTTATGACTCCTAACTTGTCGATGAAAAGACAAAGAATATAAACCATGCAGAGTGCAGTTGCAATTCCCTTCACATTGATAACAGGTATAGCTATTTTCTTGACATTTTTTTCCCCGAATGTTATTTTCTTCACATGGTTCTGTGACGAAGGCCAGTTGAGATAAAATTATTATATTACTAGATTTACAACAGGATATGCTGATGTTCAGTTCCAGGTCTTCAAGTTCATTTCAAAAGAAGAAGACCTAGGGACTCGCAATGTTCTTTTACCACTTGGATTAGAGAAAATCTGAACCCTTTAAGAGTAGCACAAACATGAAAAATGTGCAGGGACATGTGCATCCAGCCAAACAGTCTTAACGGAATAAGCTAGCACTAGGTGTTGATCACCACTTCCTAACTTCAGTTTAATCCATTTTTAAATGTTGATAACGTAACAAAATTTATGTAAATTGTTTGTGTTCGGATATGTAATTGTCTATATGTATGTTTCTTTTTTTCATTGATTATATATGTATTTGTTCTCATCACGCATTTCTGCATATACCAATCAGGGTGATTTTTCTGTTTCACCATCAGTAGCTGTGCATATCTTTATCTGTGTGCACCTATATATGTATTTATTAGTGTTAATAACAATTCAATCTACTTTTTACTCGAATCTGTTTCTAAATTTGAAATGGTATCAAATCCGTGAAATCCTTGTCCACCAGTCCTGAGGCTGTTCAAGGAATACTTCTTACTCGAATCTGTTTCTAAATTTGAAATGGTATCAAATACGTGAAATCCTAGCCCACCGGTCCTGAGGGTGTTCAAGGAATACTGGTATGTTTAAACCAATTATGCACCCAAAATTTTGTACATTTATTTGTGTGATGATCTAACCATTTATACTTCAAGTTTTCGCATGTGGGATTTACAATAGGTGACTGAATCCATAACAATCTGAATTGCATGCCTTACCATGTGTAATGGATGATTTTGAATAATCTCCGATTCTTGATGGTGAATTTGGTCTTTCATTCATGCAGAGATTTGTATGGCCTCCATAGAGTTACGTTGACCAAATAATCAAAGATGCGTTAATGAAAAGCAATTTGTACACTCTATTTATTGGATGCATGAGGGAGAATACTCAAGCAAAACACAAATTTGAATTGCATAAGGCGAAAATAAAAAGACTCAGAGAGAACGGAAAGCTTGCAGGGGTGGGGGGAGAGAGAGGGGGGGGAGGGAAGGGGCCGGGGCCGGGATGGGGCAAGAAAAATATGGACGGGGAAAGAGGAAGAAATACATGGGGGGAGAGGGACCAAATAAAAGAATTGAGAGAGAAGGAAGAGAACGTGGGACTAGGGGTAAGAATAAAGACAAAATAGAGAGCAAAGAAGATGGAAACGGATATAATATTAATAGAAAATTGCCTTACCTAGTGAATAAGGTCTGCAAGGATGGAGAGCTATAAAATAAAAGCTCACATCTAAAAGACATAAGATAATAAAAATACAAGATTCCCTCAGCATAACGGATCTTTAAAAATAAATATAAATAAGCACTAAGAGGTTTTAGACTTATCTTAAATGGTACAACATAAGGTTTCCTTAATTTCGAACTTGGGAAAAGAAAGATTAAGAGCTCACTCCTCTGTAGTGACTATGGTGAATTAGCCAAGTAGAAGTATGACTCAGCCCTACCTCTAATCTTTTCAGTAGCCAAGTTGAAGAAAGACGAATCCATAGTCTTTTTTATAAGAGATAGTCTCAGTCATACGAGATGCTGTAAAAGATTCAATTGTGTACCTTCAAACGAAAAATAGCAGCAGAAATGGCCCTTCCGGGAGCTTGTATAATTTTATTGTGTACCTAAGAGAGAATAAGTTTAGTGTAACCAAGATATAAGTTTAGCAATCAACATCTCACTAAACTAATTATGAAAAGAGAACTCACTAACCTGTAGATGAAGTAGAGAAACAACCTTAGGTAAAAGGGCCACAGGATCAGTTTCATTGTCAACTAGAGAAGTCAAATCCTGATAGTACAACCATAATGAGAAGGAGCCATGCATCATGATAGTTTTATAGAAGAATTACAAAGCAATAACATACTACATGACAAACGGAAAAATGAAAAATTGGACTTGATATGTACAATTTTAATATTATCATAGCGAAAACACAGATGCTACAGACAAAAACCAGAACACATAATAAAAAATTCTAATTACAATTGGGAGAAATTTCGAAACAGAGATGGGAATGGGTTGGGGCTTCAGTGAGAGGTAGATGCCTCAACATAATGTCCCACCCTCTATTCCCACCATTAACATACCAAAACAAAACGAAATTTCGAAACAGAGTTACTATTGTAGGAAGGATGTAATATGCGGTGTTTTACTCCAAACAACAAAAAATTTGTACCTTACGATACGAGTGAAGTAGTGTTCTCTCCAATTTCTTGTCGAGCTTCTTGAGCAATAATCCGCTGATAAGATGACATCAAAGCAATTTTAGTGCAGCCACATTACGAAATAAGGTGCTCAACATAAGAAGTGCTAATAGCATAAAGTTCTTACCACTCTTCTGTCATGGCTTTGAGTGCTATAACCAAAGGGTTGACTTGCTGTAAGAAATACAGTGTTAAAAAGGTTCAGAAATATTCCAAAATAATTATTTTACTATGTAGAATCAAATGCAATAATCTGAAAGAACAACGAAGCGGCACACATAAAGGTCCCTTTCCTTACCAGCAGCTGAAAGGTGGCGATGTAGATTATGATATATCGTAATTAAAAGTTTTCAGCAACAATACCAGCGAGTCTACTTACATGTGCTACTTACAATTCAAAAGATGCCATTTAATAAACTCTTTTTATTCATAAAAAATAAGAAATTTACAACAGTTAAGTGAAAAAAGAACAATGAGAAGTCTTTGACCGGAACAAATTGCCTCGCATCACATCCAAAAGGACTTTAGCACATCCCGCTGCTGATCACCCAGATCGATGGGGCACTAATCACAATCCCTGCTGAATCTCCTTAAAATGGGAAGCTTTATGGCAAACCAAAAATGCGAGATGGGGTAGAAAAAGAGCACAACCAAGTATGTGCCACCAATGCAAACCAAAACACAATATGGTTTAATCTACAGGTAAAAACTAAGAAACGAGCCTAGAGCTCTATGGGGCATGCCACCCTAGGGTCTCTACTATAGGTGAAGCACCCCCTTAATAGGCTAGAGAGAGAAGATGAGAAAGAGTAGAGACGGGCATGTGGAAGAAAGATAATTATATATATATATATATATATATAGAAAGAGAGAGAGAGATAGAGAGGCACTACTGGTGCTCTGTAATTTCCATGGGGAAGGACCCCTACTTATAGCAGAGAGGAACTTCTAGTGTTGTGTAATTTCCAGCTTTTCATCTTAGCCCTATTTTCCCTAAATCAGCCATCATGATAAAGAGAAGGATCTAGACCCTTCTCCCTTAGTTTCCTTAATGCACTCTCTTTTGATAAAAAAAGATAACACTCTTACCCAAAAGATCTTTCCGAACTTTATCAAAATCAACAAGAGGCTCTCCAAAACTTCTAGAACACCTTCTTAGCCTTTCCAAACATCAACCAAAAATAACCAACAAGTTTTAGTTGGTCAACAAATTAGAAAGAGAGAGTAAGGAGAGGGACGTGTGCGCCTAGGAGCCCTTGTGGGCCCCACGCCAAACACCAAGTGGGCCTCCCCACCATGTGGTTGTGCTCCCAAGACCCTGATTTCATCCCTGAAAGTTTTTGGTTGCGCTCCCAAGACCCGGATTTCATCTCTAAAAGTTTTTGGTATGCCTTATTATCACCCTCTATATGATGTGTACCAAAAATTGCTTATGCAATCTGTTTTTTGTTGCGCATGCAATCGGTTTTTTGGTGTCGTATGGGTAGTGACCATTATTAGATTACAATTGGTGTGCTTATGCAATCTGTTTTTTGTTGCTTATGCAATCTGGTTTTTGGCGTCGTATGGGTAGTGACCATTATTAGATTACACTTGGTGTGATTTTGTATCAAGGAAACACTCGATGACAAGGATTAAGATGTCAAGCTTCCAAAAACTTTTGATGACGATTACTATCACTGGCCAGTAAGGTTGTGAAAAATTTTCAATTTGAGTTGTTTTGGGAGTTCGACTTCTTGGAAGACTCACGTGAGTGTGAGCTGCAATGATACACAAGCGAAAGCATAATTGTGTTGGAACAAACCCATTCACTCATGTCAACTACTGTGATCCTTTTTTCTTTCACACAAATTATAATGCTTTGGGATAAATTGATATGATTTCCAACCTTCTTTCAGGGAAGAGGCTATATAGTAGGAATTATGATATGTGAAATAGTAAACACCAAGACTTGTTTGATAACAGAGAGTATTTGAGGACCTGACCATCAACATGGCTCCATTGAGGAAGGAAATATGGCCCAAGGCTTAACAAACACGCCTTAAGAACAATCATTTTGCATGCATCAGTATTTGAGGACTTGACTAGCCCAACCAAGGAGCTTGAAAGCTACGCAAGGAAAAGAAATGATGCAACCCTTGTAGCTGCAATTTTTTACACCTCTGCTAGAGGTTGCGCAAGTCATATTGGCATTTGAGATGTATTAAATGTCATCAAAATGATTCCATGATTGTGCCTTTGAGAAAACGTCACAAATGATTTATGACCTGGGTGTTGATGGAAACCATTTAGTGATAAGCAACAAATTTTAGTTGTGCTCCAATTGCCGGGATTAATGGCCATTTAAAGGCCCTTTCTTTATACATGTGTATCTTAGTTTGATTGGGAGTAAAGGTATTTCAATGGGGAACAGAGCTTGGTGCCAAAACCTGAGCATAGATCCATGAGGGACAGGATAAGGCTTTTAAAGAGCCTTATCATAGTAGTGGTATATTCAGAGCACCAGGTTATGTACCTATGTGCACACAAGGACTCAACTAGGGTTTTGGCGGTCTAGCCCCAGGAGGTTCCAAATTAGAGCCAAAACTCTTTAGCCATGGGTATTGGGCTTTTGTGCCGAAAATCATCCCGTTGAGGTCGGTTAAGGGCCAGCCCTTCTTGAGGTCCAATGATATACCCATGGTGGTAGGACGGGATGAAGATGCACTCTTGTGTGTAGATCGTGAGAGAGCCCTACAGGATCCTCAGTCCTTGTGAGGACAAAGGCCAAATTCTCGATGGTTCGATCCCAAAGCACATGAATATGTGTTTGCAAAATCAAACTGAAACAGTTAACTGGACATGAGGGCGGGGGTGTTTAGAACAGGAACTAGACTAACCAGTTGGTTAACTGGACTAACCGGTCCAAGAGATTTTTTTTTTAAAATAAAAAAACTTAGATTAAGTGTATACTATCTTATTACCTACATTTGTCTTACCCAAAAAAATTTGAAGCAACTTTGTATATAAGTTAATATATGAATACTATGGAGATATGCAAGACAATTTATAATTTGACATTAATTCAATTGATGTAGTTACAAAGTCTAACTAACAATGGCTAGTAGTAATGAGAGCGGCGAGGGGGTCAAGGTGCTGTTGTGTCTAGCTATCAGGGTTTACTGGGCGAAAAATCTGAATAAAGCCTAGTGAAGTCTGTAATGTCGCAACTATGCCTCCTCACCAATCAGGAACATTTCCCATGGTACCCTCTTTGCCAAAGTCTCCTAGAATGGTCCAGCCTTCGTGGGCTTCCCCACCCTATTTTGTGTTACCCCCACCTTGTTCTGTGTTATAGCCCCTAGAAGCTTTGACATTGTTGTCATCATGAATAACTAGGTTACGGTGCCAACTAAGACTCTGTCTCTCCCTTGTCAAGTAACAGCTACGCCTAGATGCCTGGACTTCCTCCCGAGCCAATCTCAGTGGATCATCTTCCTGTACATCGAACACCATATCATGTTGCGCCCCTTCACATTCCTGGACGACTGGACCTTGCCAATCATTTTCCATTGTCCCATCTGTCTCCTCATCTTCATACTCGTTAATGTCGGTGTCCATGTTCAATGTTGTGTCTCCATTAGGTGCTGCAACGTCAGCATTATTATCCATATCGACAATTGCCCTGTTAAGGAAATCTTAGTCTAGTACTGGGGTCCTTTATGATACCCACTCATGGGCGAGGTCCCTCTGGAAGATCTAATCAAGGTTGATCGAAGTGTAGCCTGTGGGGGTCTTCCTTATTTGCCTCTCTCTCGATTTTAAGTTGTAGTGGACGTACACCAGGTTGTGTAGCGTCTGAGTCTTTAACCTATTCTGCCTCGGGGCATGTATCCACTGGAATGTACTCCAATTTCTTTTACATCCCGAGGAAGCACAGGTTTGACTCAGAATTCTAACTGCAATCTTTTGTAAATGCTTTGTTTGGATTTTGTGTATCGTCCACCAATGTGCTGACATAAACAAACATAGGAATACTTAACAATAGAAAAATAATTAACTTTAAGAAACCCACCAATAGTATTGTACTAAACTATTACAAGTTATAACCTATAACTAACCTAGGTGCAATTTTGCAGCTGCTTTTTTAGCATTGTTGTATGCAACTTCCCCGTTTTTTCCCATGTACATGATAAGCTACAAAGAACAAGATGCGTATACAAGAAATTATTACAACATAGAAATGCAATTTGTTATTGTGAATTAAAACTTTTATTACATACATGTTTTGCTCAAAGTTTACCTGTGCCATACACTCCATCTGAGTATCAAGATCAGGCTCAAGCCTATAGATGCAATTTCTCACCCCGTCCATGATATGTGCATCATCTAGGTCGGCAATTGAGTACAAGTTATGTAGGTTAAGAAAGAACCCTACACATGGTTTATTATATTATTAATTACGGTAAATTTACTGAGAGTTGAGATAGAATCATGAATTGCGACAATGAATCATAAATTACTTGCTGGATGGATATCCTGATGCAGTTGATCTCTCCACCTACGATAAACGATCTCCAATATCTCATCAGTCCATATGTTATTTTGAACTATGGCTTCCTTTGCGTATCTCATTGTGTTGAACAGAAACCACATAGCTGGCTTATCATCAGAGTCCACTAACGTCAACACCTGCACTAGAGGTTCAGTTACAAAAACAACATGGTTTTTTTTCTGATGGTATTGTGGATTGCGAAGGTCAAGTCGAGAGGGTTCGCCGGTCATTGGTGGCACATCTATGGGTTCAGGTCAGTGAGTAGTTGATGGCCGCCTATAAGAGGTTGGGAGACTAGATAAACTACGCGTCAGTCTACTAGATGTGGACCTAAGCATTGAAGGCCGCATCCTCCCATACCCGGTACTATTTGTTGAGGCTGGCAGCTGGTGGATGCGCCATATCTTCTACCATACGTCTCTTGAATTTCTATTTGCCTATAATTCAGCTCTCAGAGGCTAGAATCCTAACCCGTTCCATTTGCATCTCGAACTCTGCTTCTTCATCCTCAACCTCATCTATAGCACTTTCGTACCCCTTCCCTACCTCCTCCGCATCCCTTTTGTATCTGCACCTTTTTCCTTTTCCATACGTAATTAATTTTAACATTTCTTGTTTTACGGCCAATGGCACATCTTAC